AGATAGAAGTGTTTGTTGAATCTGACGTGACATGTTCGTACGAACCCTTTGTACGAACAAAAGTAAGAGAAATTTAGGAGAAGAATACGAACATGTTCTTGCATGAGGCCCATTCATAGCATTTTGGGTAAGTGCTATTTTATAAACATTTACATCACTGTCAGTTTCACATTACGGGCTTATTCTGTCAGAAAGCTTGTCTTTGCATCAAAAAAACATGAAACTGTGACACTAAAGTCTCAAACCAAACTGAATCGTCAATCATGAATACGTGTATCTGTATCGAATCATTCAACACAGTGCTCTACATTTAATACACACTATGTATCGAACAATACAGATTTTTAAAAAAAATATTTTATTAATTTGTCTTCTGAAGATGCACTGCGTTGAAGGCTCAGTGGATCTGTGTTCGACTACTCCGCCTAGGCTGCTTTGTCGAGCGCAGATCCACTGAGAAATTTGCTGTTTCAGCAACATTTAATTTAAAAGTTGTACTTTCAAGGTTAAACAAATCTCCATGATAATTTTACTAAATTACAAGTTCAGAAAGTTCTCTTTTTTGTACCGAAAAAAATATTGAACATTGGCTTTGGAACTGTGTTAAGACAAAAGAACCCCACTTGGATCTTGGTCTCACTCAGACTAGCCGTTAGCTTGTCACTCCAGTCAGAATTAAACGTTATTTCTCCAAACTGAGCTCATTCAAAAAGCTATCTGTGTCAGGTAAGATATTGATTCGTAAGCTAAACGGGAACCCCACTTCAAAAATTCAGAACTGTTCCTTTAACAACATACTTTAAAGAATGTTTGCATTAGACAAAAATAGTTTTACTTTTCATTATTTTTCAGGTTGATTTTTGCAAATTCCACCTTCCTGTCAGCCTGCACCAGCTAAAGCAAACATCTAAAAGGATTAAAATGTGATTCTGACCCAGGTGTTTAAAAAAAGTTCATGGTTTTTTTTTTTACCTCTTCCTGATATTGTTTCTAAAACTGGACAGCAAGAGAGAATGCTTTACTTTTTTTTAAATCAGTTTCCTTACTGGTTCAGTCGAAGCGTCAGTAACTAGAGGAACAGTCATTGTCTGGGTAAAGAAGAGAGAGATGGTCTTTATGCAATTTCCTATTTTTCAGCTGTGTTACAGGAGTCCCGTGCAGCAAGAAGGCTGATTTCTGGGTTTAAAGGACAGCGGATGTTTTGTTTTTTTTCTGGGGTGCCTACCTCCTGGTTTCTAAACAAAGTGGGGTCACAGTCTGTTGACATCAACATGCTCTGTGTGTGAGAACATATATTTTTGATGTCTTTTTTTAAATAATTGTCTAAAAAACCTTGCATAACTTGACTATATTATTAATATTATTGTTGTTATTATTATTATTCAGATTGAGTTCACATTGTTGCATTTATTTAGAGGTAGAATAAGTGATTTAAAAAAGAAATCACTTTGTCCCTATGAAGTATTTACAGTTGTACTCTAGTGTCTGCTGCAAACTGGACTTCTCTCTAAATGATACCTTAACATTTTTTGTGTGCGTGTGCGTGCGTGCGTGTGTGTGTGTGTGTGTGAGTGAGTGCGTGCGTGCGCTAAGTGGGCATCCGGTAGACAAAGCGTAGGTTTATGTCCTTTTAAAGATACAGTTATGTTCCAGAAATGCATGTCAACCAAACTGTAGGTGTACTGACAATGCATAGCTCTTTGTGTATGAAATCATAGCCGTCTTTGTGGGTTTTGCAACCTATTTTAGTTACTTAGAAAAACTCTTCTTTCCCCTCTGTGGGTTTGATTTATAGCCGTGGGGTCAGGACAGCGTTTGGCTCCTCTCCCCACATTTCAGACATAAAACATCTGAATGTTGTTGCATTTTAAGTGCCCATTTCAGGTGACATTTTTAAACCGTGATTTTATTTTATTTTTTTATGTGATTCCTCTTAAGCAGTGTGACTTAAGCTAAAAGCAAGCTATTGAGAGACACTGTTTAAACTATAAAAGGGCTTCTTAATCAATCGATCTTTATTGTGATGACCTTGTTGCATGTTTGTGTGTTTCTTGTGGGGGAAAAAAATTCAAATAAAAAGTAAATGTGCCCCTGGGGTTCAGAGATATTTCGTTTGGCTTTTTCTTTACTTTTTTAAATTCCCAGCTGTTGGTGTGTTTAGATTCAGGGTTTCTAACCAGGCAGCTCTGGTCCCTGCTCCTTGTTATATGGATATAAACGAGCGTTGTTGGAGCTGTGGAGTGCAGCAGGAACATTTCTCATTGGCAGTAAATTTGCTTTATGGTCATTTTCTGTCTCTGGATGCTGTAAGTTGGTGCACGCAAAAAGCGAGTTGTGGGATTTATCGAGGCCAGAGGTGATCCAGTTCCTCATTCAGAGGCAGCAGCCACCATCAGGGAGACTCTGCTGCATCGCTGCAGGTAGGTTCTCACTCATTAGCATTGTAATGCCTAGCTCCTATTGTGAAAGCTCTAGGTATGGTTGTTTGATTGAAATGATTTACTTGTGACCACCAAAAAAATCTGGGTGGGATCAGCACAAATAAGGTACGATTTGTAAAAATTGTGAATAAATATATCCTAACATCCGCACAAAGTCAAACATTTTACTCCACAAAGACAAATCAAACTTTTTTTTCTTCCTGCACAAGATCTGGTGATATAGGAATTTAATAAATAATACACTTTTTCTAACAGCAAAATACAGCTGGGACAAATTATTGTGTACTTGCAAAACAGAAAGAAGCATTTTTTCTTGTTTCTTACAATAACTTACCTGGAACATGAAGTTCACAAACTTATAAAAGGTGGCAAATAGGCAAAGCAAATTCTCGAAAGCAGAAATACACAAAAAAAAAAACATGTGCAAAAATCACTGGAAAATATATTAACTTGGTTAATACAAAATGAATTGATGTCCAAAAGATGAAATCATGATTGTCCCCTCCCCCCTTCAGTTTATATTCTTCAAAAGTAAAAATAGGGGGAGTAAACATTTAAGAATTTCAAAATCATGTCAAAATTAGTTTCCTGAGGATATGCTTTGTTTAGTGTTTTTTTTTTAAAAAAAAAAAGCTAAGAAATTGTAAAACTTGTGCAGAAATTGGCCCAATGTTCAGCTTAGACCTATGAGAACAAATAAAATTTATACACAGTAATTTTAATGGCCATTACTTAAAGTATTCAAACATTTTTTCAGTATTGGTTTATATTCTGCTTGCCTATTTCACTCAGATGAGCTTTGACTGGTAGAGGCCTTTCTCACAGTTCACACTGACTGGTTTGCTGAGGTTTTCTCTGATCAGGGGTCTGTAACCTTAAAGACTTATAAAAACCCTTTAACACAACTCAATATATAAATATATTAAAAACCTAGTTTGTTTTTAAATTGTGAACATGAACAATAATAAACTGTTGACATTAATTTGTAAAAGAGCGAAACTTTTTTTACAGATGGCCTTATTTTCTTGAATTGTGACAACAGTGGCATGTGCAAAACTGCATTTTTCTCCCTCAACAAATTGCACTAAATGTGTAAAAAAAAATCTAGTTTTCTGGCTGATTTTAGCTGAAACCAACAACCTTTTCCTTACAAATAGATTAATCAGTCACCTTTCATTATTAACATTCTGACACCATTTTTAATTTTTTTCATTTAATGCATAAATTTTGACAGAACTAGCCTCTGTCTAATGGTTATTATTCACTTACATGTTAGTTTTGGTCAAGACTACTCAGAGCCACAGGTTGCAGACCCCAGTTCTAGATTAAAGATCTGATCTCCAAGCATCACAATCACTGACCTCTGACCTTTCCTGTCCTTCAAATATTAGACATTAGTGTATTTTTTAGTACTCCACATTAAAAAAGGCTATTTTCTTATTTAAGTTTCTAAAATATAAAAAAGAAAAATTGGCATCTCAAATACATCCTGACACTTAGGTAAACCTTACCTATATGACTTTTAGAATGGCTACAAGTGGAAGGACTTTTTTTTTAATCAAATGACATCACGTCTAAGTTAGCACCAAACAAAGTGCATTGTTTTGTATAAAGGGTACAAAGCAACACATAAAGAAGATTAGTTTTGCTCAACTGTACAGGCAGCGTTAAACTGAGGCGTCTGCATCACCATTTTATAACACCATGAAATAATAACCTGTAATAATGTCGCTGCTACATTGTGGCCATGGTGATGAATTGCCTCAATAAAAAGTACAAAACACAAATATCAAAACATCTCACATTCAGGTACTGTAGATTACACCACGAGAAGCTTTTGCATAAAATGTCTGACTTGATGAAATTCTGTACAATATCTTTAAAATATAAAAGCTTCTTTTCACATTGAACAAGTGCATGCAAGCCATGCAACAGATTGCTTGTTATCTACAGAAAAGAAACATGAAGTCATTTCATCCTTCAAAGTTCCTCACACCCCCTTATCAACTTTATCTTAATCCTCCCCAGCGCTGTCATTGGCGGCACTCAGAGAATATCAAAAACCATTAAAAGCAGCTGAGTCCCCCACCGCTCTTTGTATGAACCAAAAAACCTGGAGGAGACTGCACGGTGTGGACACTTCTTTTTTTCCTTTTCTTTTTCTGTTACAATCAAGAGGGAGTGTGTAGCCGATCCTCGCTCATCTTGGTGTTCCCCCCCCCACCCCTCCTCACCCCCTTCAGGCAATAATAGATCCCAGATCGTGTGCAGGCTAGGGATTCAGAATGACACAGGCGGCGTCCTCTTTTTCTCTTTGTTGAAAGGCGGCGTGAGCCTGCTCCAGATCCTCTATCACTGCCAGCAGCCGAGCAGCAACACTCTGACCTGGCTTCATTAGCTGAACGTTGCACTCTGCACCATCTGCAGAACACAAACATGAGGAAGAATTTATCTATATTCATTTAAATAATATGAAAAAAAGCATTGTGAAATATTCTGCAGTTATAATTCATGCTCACCTGGGTGGTGAATGTCCGAGTTTATCCTCTCTTCTGTATTGCTTGACGGCAGATCATCTTCAGACATCTCCAGGTACCTTTCCCTGCAATATCAGACCCTTATTGTATTAACACCGCCTCTTATCTGGAGGCTGTTTCTGCCTTTATACGCAATGACAGATAAATGTATGGCCTTCAGAGGAGCAACTTCAGAACAGCGTGTTCCTGTGCTGCAACAGAGACCTCTAGTGTCCAGTAATGAAGCTGCGGGAGGATACCGACCTGAGTGCGTCTCGGCCCTGCAGGAGTTGCTTGTATATCATCTGAGTCTCCACGTCGGGATCCAGCGGGTCGCTCCAGTCCCCCAGAGTCACGGCTGAGTGGGTCCGGCTGCAGCCTGTTACTGAGAGGCAGCGTTTTATTAAACCGTGGTGCTCCAAACACAAACACTGGAAATATTTCATTATGATAATGATCTTTAAATTCACTAAAGAAATATGACAATGCACAAACAGTAGCTCACAGATTCATTGGTAAGAGAAATGTATGGTCAGTTTATCCTGCAGAAAATAGCTGCAATTAAAAGGCCTAGCATGTCTTGAAAACTAACATCATATGATGAAAAACAACAATTTTAGTCAAACCTACATTAATATTTAGCTCAGTAACTGTAAATTAAGTTACAGCTATGTTTATGTTGGATAATGTGATTAGCTGTGGCAACAAACTTGACTTGAAATGTTAATCAGCTGTAGGTGCACAACCAAAAGTATTAATTTCTGAAATTTTTATCAAAATTTATACAGTGGTTCAAGAAACATTTTGCTAATGCAAAACCAATCAGCAGGGCTGACAAAAGCTAATGCGAATGTTTTAGGCAAAGCTCTTCTGCAATGGGTAGCACTTGGAGTATGACTCTCAGCTACTACTACTACTACAAATTTTAGGTCAATATCTATAAAACTGACTGAGATACTGTCATTTTTGTGTTTTTAAGATCAGTTAGATGTGGCGGTCAAAGTAAATTTGGTTGACTCCAAAAATTAATTATAAATGCACATCCAGTGATAAACTTCAGGAAGTGGGTTACAAGAGATTTGAGAGCCACCCAAACACACAGACCATATCATTCACCTTTGCCTTTCCATGTTGAGTGATATTTAAATGTTTAGTAATTAAATATACTTCAAAGAATCTTTAGGAGACAAAGACGCAATTGGCATTGGTTAATTCTTCAGTATGCTTTTACATCTAAAGTCTACTTTAACACATATTCACATTCTGCTCTGACCCCTGTAGAGAAAGTGGGATAATCATGCCACTCTGAGTGCTCATAAGGGCATTAGAGGCTTTATTAGCAGGATTACCAGTCCGGTCCACCTGCAGGCAGCAGGTCCACTTGCCGCTGCGATGGACGCCCGGGTGAAAAGAGGGCAGCATGTGCTCATTGTAGATGCTGGCTTTCCTTATCGCAGACAGCCACTGGTTCAGCTCATTCACATTCTGTTCAGCCAGGGGTGGAAATAATGCAGTCAGCAAATGAGGGAAATGTGTCAGTTAAATGAAAAGCATTGCAACCCTTTTACCTATCTGTTACAAAATAAAGGATCGAAGACATGGTGTGGAAAAAAAACTGACAGATTGAGTGTCTGGCGTGGGTCTAAACCCACCTTGCACTGGATGTACATGGTGTGCAGCTGTCTGTCGTCGTCCTGGGTGATGACCTGCATTACATTCTGCTGCTGAAAGGCATTTTCATCCACCCTCTCCACGGCACACACACACTGAATGGGGATTGGAGAGCGCACCTGCAACAATTTAGCCACAAACCACAACACCAATTAACACAAACACATGCCAATAACAAGGTCTCTTCCTCCTGCCCGGGACTAAATTATGTCATAGTTTCAGCGGATATTTGATCCCAAAGAACGTTAACAAAAGCAGAACGTTCTACAGATGGTGAACTGTGAGAACGGATGTGACTGTCGTGGCAGCAAAGACTACTTTTAAGTGTAAATCAGCCACTTCCAACAGGAGCTCGCCTCACTCAAAATGGAGTGCTCCAAACATGGTGGAAAGGGGACAGGACGTTGTCTGCCAACTGATTAGCAATGTTAGTATGAATATCCACAGCCTTCAATTAACCCTTGCCTTTATTCCTGTCACACAAAGCGGGACCTTGCTCAAAGAAAGAGCTTTTTAGAGGGCAGGACCAGGCTGTTCCAGCTCCTTCTTTCTCATATAGACTCCGAACGGTAAATGAGAGGAGTCTCATTTTACAAGGTAGCGCTAGTGATGACCTCAAATGAAGATCAACACAAAAACACTAAGAAAAACAAAGGAGATGGTATTTTTTGGTTTTCTTGAGCCATAAATGTCAGTCAAAAGGGTATAAACACTGATTTTAAAAGCGGAACATTAGATTTGAAAATGAATTATTTACTTTAACGCATCTTTGGATTCAGGAGATGAGTCATAATTATCACCTGCCCCCTGAAGGCAAAAGCAGACAAGTAATGTTTATGCTTGTGTCTGTGTGTTTCTTTGTGATTGTTAAAATATATCAAACTACTGAACAGATTTTAATACAGTTTGTAAAGAGTAATCCTTATATGTGCATCTACAATAGAGCTTCACAATAAATCGAAAATGCATAGTCATCACAATAACAGACAAGACATATCGCAAAAAAAGGTACTAAAATGTTAGCTTAAATGTTTGCATTTATGCTATACATTTTTTTTGTCAATCACATGGAAGCTTGAAGTATTTGACCAATCAAATGAAGCCCTTCACGTATTTGGCTAATCAGATGGATCTTTACATTCGATCCCATTAGACATGAGTAGATGGCAAACAAATGAGCAAGCTTAGAGAGAGTTGCATAGGCTGAGTCCAAGAAAATATTAGTGACAAAAAGGAGTGGTTAAACAAAAATAGCATGTTTTTTATTTGGAAATATTTTGGTTTCAAGAGAGACTAAATGCTACAAACACAGGTAAGACATGCCAAACATCAGTGGAAACCATGAGAGGAAACAACAAATCTCTATTGTCACCTACAATCCAGCCATACAGAGAAGAGTTCCAAAAGACTAACATTAGCAAAACCAAAGTAGCAAATGTAAGGACAAATAAGAGCACAACAGCCCAGCAGATATCAGTGTATCAGAGTTTTGCAAGTGGAACTCCTTAGGAGAAATAAGGCCACTGCAACTTTATTTGGCTAAGGTCATGCATGAATACAGTGAGCTGAGAGGGCTTTGTGAGTCTGAAAAACAAAATGAGAATGCACCTCATGTTACTGATCCAAATGTCAGGTAAAAAGTTGACTTTTTTTCTATTTTCAACTTGCTTTTCTAGATTTTATTTGGTAACAAATTAACCAACCAAAAATAAAAGCCTATGTACCACTCAAGTCTGGTTTTCATAATGAAAAACAACACAGATGATTAATATAAATACTGTATGTCAGTGTAACATAAAACTTCAGCACCAACCTGCCAATCAGAGGTCTTGGCATAGGACAACGTCTCACTAGTCAACCAGAAGTAGCGCTTCTTAAAGGCAAAGCGGGACAGCAGCTGCGGCCCCTCTGCTTTGTATTTGTGAAGGTATCCCTCCTTGACTGTTACTGAAGGCATGAAAACAGCCCTCTGAGGCACTGAAGACACTGCAGGGAGGAGAGGAAAACAGATGTTCGAGCTGAGAGGCACAAGATGATGCTGTGTTGAGAAGTGAGCCGAGAACTTTAATTAGTTTTGCATCAATATAGATTCATAATTTGGCACCTGAACCTCGTTCCATCCCTGTAAAGGCAGCCTTAAGAGGATTAACAATTGCTTAAATCTGCAAATCCACTTGAAGGGCTCTAAATATCAAATTGTTATTTAATAGAAAAGAAAAAGGGTGTGATGTCAGGAACAAGGCTGACATGTGATATGTCACAGAGGGGCAGATGTTTCGCAACGACAGGATCACTAACATGATAGTAGGAAAGCAGCCGACACATGTTGAGTAAGCTGCGTGGCGTCTCACTCCAGTTCCCCACCAGCTCATTAATAATGTCCTCCCTTCTACTGCGAGATCGTTATTAATATTTCACCACAGAGTTTCACTTCATCCCGGTAACAGCTGCTCACCCCAAACAGCATGACCTCTGGACTTGGCTTTTGATCTCAAGCAGAGTGGCGTGTTGGGTGTTGTCAGCCTTACCAACGTCGTGATCTATGTCGATCAACTTGTCCAGGAAGTCCTTGACAGAGGCCACGCTGCGAAGGATGATGGGATGAAGAGGCGCCATCCACTGCTCCTTCCCGTGACCCAGCTGAAGACCCAAGTTGCCGACGCTTTGTAGAGCCTGGTGACCAGACACACATTTACTCGCTGTACACTAACATCTTTCATCGTATCAAATCCCCACTCACTGACAGCAGGTCTCAAAGTCAAAGATCAAAAGGGTCCCTTGAGACCAAGCATGCTGCGAGGCCCTTTGTCAGGCCCACACCTGGCCTAAGGCAAGTAGGAAGTCCCTGTCCGCTCCCCTCTCTGATGCTCTGCTTTGAACCTCTGTCTGGTCTCTGCATCCACAGAGGTAAAAAGATCTCATCCCTTCTTTCTGTAGAACAGTAGTGTCCAAAGTGTAGCCCGGGGGCCATTTGTGGCCCCTGAACTGATTTTGTGTGGCCCCTGAAGAATTATACTAATTTGTTTACAAATTTGTACCCCCAGCACAGGTGTAGATGGAGACTTTCTATGTTTAATTAGGGCAAAATTATCACAAAGTAAAATCTTCTTCCAGTAAAGAATATTGGTAACAACACCAATTATTTATCTTAAAATAACCAGACTCTTTGCTTTTTCCACATCCATCTAGTAACTTCTATTCAAATGCTGATTTTGCTGCCCTCCAATTTGTTTTTAATTAACTTATTAAATTTTTCTGAATTAACTAAATTAGGTTCTTTATTCCCCAATTAAAACCTAGAAAATTGCAAAATTTCTTTCAATAAGGGAAACCTGCAAAACACTTTTAAACTTCTGGATCTAGATTAATTTGCACATCCATTTCTAGCAATAAATCTGACTACTTTTTTGTTTAATTTAAATATTCAATGCTTAGTTTATTGTTGAGCAGGTAAAGGAAAATATTTTTGGCCCTCAGATCCTTCTGACTTTATGATTTTGGCTCATGTGACAAAATGTTTGGACAGCCCTGCTGTAGACGGCCTATGGCAACAGTGCTTCAGCACCATGGACAGCAACCACACAAGCCACGTGGAAAATTAGAGTTTTCCCTCACTAACATGTATAAAGGGGTTTATTTTTCAAGAAAAAGCGCCTGTGGCATCAAATTTTTGTAATAAATATGAATGCATTTTTAGAACGCTATAACATTGATAACATATTGCAAAAAATGTGCATGCTTTTGAGATGAACATCAGTTGAGATATTTGCATGAGAAGTAACAGGAAGTGAGGTCAAAAGAGAATGTCTTCATCTGAATAGAGCATTTCTACAGCAGCTAACGACACAGAGAGGAGGGAAAAATCTGGTGTTACTTTAGATTATTTTCAATCACTGACAAAAAGAGATGAAGAGTCAGAGTTCAAATGTTTAAACAAAGACCAGAGAGTTCCTTTTCTTAATGAGTTCCCCTTCGATGTAACTTCCTGTTCCACTTTAACTGAGCCAAGTTCCAAAAAATATGCCAGGTATGTGACAAAATGGATACAATTTGAGTGTTATGCCAAGTTTATTGAGTAAATATGTTTTTATTTAGACTTATTGTATTTTAAGGATACAAAAGTCACAGGCCTTTTAAAGATGAGGATGTTTAGTCATGAATGAGGTCAGGCCCACTTAAAGAGTGGTCAGCTTTTAGTTAAACTCAGCATAGTAGGAGTTGTATCACTTCCACAAAAATATTTGTTTAGTGATGCATTTGACTGGGAATTCTGTCTGTTTATGAAGCATCTTTGATCTTTATTTACCATGAAATTGCCTGTCTGTGTTTCTCTGCTAACACAGTCTATAGGAAGGAGAAAGAGTATATCAAGGATATTACTGTGGACATTTACAGGAGTTTAATGCTACTTTTTTTACCATAAAACTCTGCTCACAGCTTGCACACATCAAGCAACCACTTCATCAAAAAACACCCACCATTTCACAGCTTATTTTATACTTACATAAGTGTGATGTCCAAATATGAATAAATGATTAAAAGTGGTGTCTGAGACATTGAGTCATACCTTAGCCAGCAGTAGAAGTGTTCTGCTGGTGCGTGTGTCGGCGTGCTGGTCTCTCAGGTGGAACAGTTTTGGCGTGAGGATAGCCGGAGCAAAGAATCGCAGGAAGAAGAACCCACTGATGGCCAGGTATTTTACGTCCTGTCAGCATCAAGCACGACGTCTCAGAGACGTTCCCTTTAAAGCCCACACGGGCATTCATTTGTTGTGAAAATGTGCTTCCAAATGCACTTAGCTGTAGACTGACCTCGTTCTCGGGTTTGGAGAATTGCTCTTCCACTCTCTTGTGCAGCTGTTTGAAGGCCACTCTCATCACCGGAGGACACTGATCGACCGAGGCCACGATTGAATCGATGATGCTGGTTAAATAGGTCTGCAGCATCTCCACGCTGCTGTCCCGGATCTCTGCCTCAGACATCGCACCCTTAAATGAAATGCGTCTTCACAAACAAAAGACACAGAACTGGTAACCAGCAGTTAAATCCATTTTTCCCCACTGATGTAGACATGATGCAAGACTTTCTGTGAACTGGTTGAGATGTGTACAAATAAACCAAGCACACGTGCTTCTGCTCTAAGTGACAGCCTCCGTGCTCCCAATTCTGCACCTCAGTGGAGGATTACTTCGTGTTGGAGTGAAACTTTACAAAAAGATATAT